TTGGACATGTACAAAGAAGACCAAGGGAGGCACTAGTGAAAAGAGTGGAACAGATAAATAACTTTGAGTCACATTAAGAGGGGTAGAGGAAGGCCTAAGAGAACACTCTTAGAAGAAGTTGAACGCGATCTCTTAATTAATAATATTCCTAAAAGCTTGATAATGATAGAGCACAATGGCGTCTTGCAATCTATGTAGCCGACCCTACCTAGTGGGATAAAGACTTGTTGTGTTGTTGTTGTAATGTATTCTAGTCTAGCAGGCTAGATATTCATATCAATATTATTAGAAGTAAAGCAATTATGTGAATAAATATCACCAACAATATCCATAGCAAAAAACTTTTGAAAGAAATGCCAAACCATAAAAGGTTGAATTGTTCAAAATGTAAAAAATTTTATCATGAAAATTAACATTAAACCCATAGTCTAAAAGGCATCAAATTGAAATTAAGTTACATTGGGATATATCTTATGATTAAGATAGATATGATTTAAAGGTATTATCCTAGGAAATTTGTTGTTTTTTTATCAAAGTGATATATTTGCGAAAGGAAGATTATTTGAAATATATGCATCTATGCTAATGTCTGATACATGTTCCTTATGAAGTAACTTTTGTAAACTTCTTTAATTGTGGATATATGCATGTAAAAAAACTATGAGTCTTATATCGACTTGAGAGAAATTAGATTAGTTATGGGAAAAGTGTATATTGCATTTCTAGGATATTCAACTTTGAGATTGTGCTGGCACAGAAGATTTTGCATTCACTCTTCTGCAAAAACACTTAAAATCAGAAAGTTATTCCGGAGACCTTGAACGGAATATTGGAAATGCACTACTATGTTTGTTTGGCAAAAGGATTTCATTTCTTAATTTTTCATTTTATTGTTGCTAAAGATGTGCCGAGAAGCTTCATTACAAGAGGATGAAAGAGAAAGAAAAATTAGAAAAAAGAGAAAGGAAGACAGCCGAAAGAGGTTAGGATTTTGTTCCCGTCTCTTTATTATTTTTTGCACACATAGTAGACAAAAAGATAATAGATCGAGACCTTTGATTTATAGGAACCGGTCAAAGAGTGATGATGATTCAGATCAGCTGGACAAAAGCAAAGAGAGGAGGCGAGAAGGTTTGATGTTGCCTTGTTTTAGAAGTGAATCACAGTTTTACTTCCTGAAAATGTGCTTGCCATTTTTTTTTCTTTTTTTTTTCATGTGATATTATGAATAACACAGGAAAGTAAAAACACTGGAGACTAAACCTAAAGGAAAACTAAGCAAAACAACTGGGATCAAGCATAATGTGCTCGTGGTTGTGTATTTCAATAGTTGCTCTATTATTTGCATAGTTTGCAATGTTGATTGGCAATTGATTTTTTATGAAAACAAAACCTTGCAGCATATAAAATATGCAGAAGAGGATATGTTATTTAATGCGTTCTGTAAAGATGCATTTCAGATTATTTAGTAGGAAGGTCTGACTGGAATTAATGAATTCAAGGTATTTTCATAAAAAAATGAAAATAATTTTCTTGGTTCACTGAAGGGAATGGATCATTCTGAAAGCAATATTCTGGTCATTAATTTGCCCCTGCATGCTGTTGTTATATGAAGCTTGAGGCCTATTTGTTGGGACCTTGGAGGTTATCTATGCCGCACATCAGTGTATGTGTGTAACTTCATCTTGGATATTTGGCTGTCTCTTCTTTTGAGGATTTGAGTCCATGCTATCATTAATTTTGTTGGCTGCTTCAGGTGTACATCTGCTGAGCCGTTCCTAAATATGAAAGTAATAAGTAGTATGCACCAAGTTTCTCAGGAATTGTTGATTATGTTGATTGTTATCTTAATTGCCAGGCTTATGTTAGTATAGATATATTTTCCTTGATTTGGTTTGAATGGTGCCTATTCTTCTGCTGGTTTTGAAAATGGTCGTTTCTGCAGACTGGGCTTGCCTAAGTTGACTTGATTCTATCTGTAATTGAATATGTAGAAATCTTTCCTTTTTTATTTTTTTCCCTTGAAGAATGTCTGGAAATTCTTTCTCTTCTCCTTGCGTCTAATCCTATAAGCTGAGGATTTCTTACATATTAACAGGGAAAAGGGCTTCAACTTCTGCCAGTGATCATAAATCGATGACGACGATAACTTTGATGAATTTCTGGAGGGATTGTTTCCGTGATCGTAGCTGATTGATTGCAGCACCAAAGGCAAAAGGTATATCTGCAAACCAAAGTTGGACAAGAAACAAGATTTTGGGTTCTGTTAGGGGCACACGAGAGAGGACCACTGGACCTGTAGGCAGATGTATATAGTACGAAAGTTAGGAGATCACAATTGTTCTCGAGGAAACTATCTCCTCTTAACTCTTGTAGTTTACACTTAACATTGTGCTCGTACTATAATGTGTTAAAGAGAGTTTATGTATAGCTTGAATACTATTGTTACCTTTTCCAGATGAATATATATTTAAACGTCAAAGCTTTCTTGCCATTTACAACTCCCAAGCCTTTCCCCAGCATGAATCTTAGTGTAAAATGGCTTCTAAAGCTAGAGGCATGTAAAATGTTCTGAAGTAGAGAAACAGAAAGAGAAAGAGTAGTGAGGAGAGAGAATGAATTTCATAAACATTTATTCTTGCGAAAATTGTGGAAAAGGATCTAATTAGAAAATTAATTAGGGAAAAGGATCAGATCCAAAATTTGCATTTTCTTTCATGATTCTGCGCCGTTTCTTCCATGTTCTGCAAGTTAGGTTCCTTTCTTTAATTAATTTACTTATTAGGTACTTTTCTCCAATTTTCCCTCTATTCATGCATTACTTTCTTTCACACTCCAGAATTTTTAATTTTATAGGTTTTAATTTCTTTTCATGCCTCATGTCAATTAATGTGTAATTACCTATTTAATTCTAATCACATGTCACTTAAAAATGGGATATGGAACACCAAATTTTATTACATAGAGGCATAGATCATCTTCGGATGCAAAAGAGCTCACAACTTTGAATTGTTTCAGATCCATGGTGAGACAGAAAAGGTGGTGACTTTTTTCATCATTATCTCCAGGGCATTAATGAACTTCCAAAGTCAATAATTAGAATCTGTTGCCACGGATTGGAGTAAAAGGAGGCGGAACATTATCAATGTGGGGGCACACATTGACCAAAACTTGACGCAGAATGAGTCACTAACCTAAAAATTGAATGTACAATATGAATGCCCTGAACCTCAAAAGCATCTTTGGAAGTGAAACTTAACTTTAATTTTATTTTATTTGTGTGGGGCATTGGTATCCTCTATCCAAGTCTGTTCTATGTTGAGCGAAGAAGGCTTTAACAATTTTTAGACTAATACAAATCAAGTTAGGATAGGGCTTTTTTAGACAAAGACTTTATATCACAAAATACTAAAAACTAGACAAGTTAAGGCACTGATTTAAAGGTTAATAGTTAAAACTTTAATTGAATTGTGATTAAACTAATCATAAATAAATCATTTTATTAAATTGGTTAAGACACTAGTTTAACAGTTTAATGGTTTAAACTGGGTGAATTGACCCATATTTTTATACTATGCCATCAACACTATTGCATTTATAGAGTTTTGAATTCAAGACTTCTATTTTTACTGATATAACTCCTTTATATTTGAATCAGGGGTCTTAACGTCTATTTTTTTTTTTTGTACTTGTGGTTCATGGCTTGTTCAGAAGTACCAAGAGCAAGGTTGTTTGTTTTTTCCCCCTTTTGCTTCCTTTTGGAAAAGCCACTCATCCCGTGTAAGGGTCACTGTCCCTTCCCCAAATTCTTTGTTCAGAAGGAAATGTAGGAGTAGGGTCCTCTGTGGCTTAGACATTAAGATCTTATGAGAATCATCACTTTCTTTGAATTGAGCCTTGCAAACCAAGAAACTTGTGTGTGTGTTTTGTGGTAGACTCACACTGCAAGCATGCGCATTCCTCTTTTGGGGGTATTGAGTGTAAAATAAAACTCATGCATCATATACGCTTGATTATATATGCTCCACTGCCACAATCATGTCATATCATGCCTTGTTCTACTATGTGCTCATTGTTAAATTCCTTTTGATTACTGAGCAAAATCTAGAGATATAATGAGTTCTGGTACAACCATTCAATTTCTTATATTACCAACTAATCTAAATTTGAACTGGATTACTCTTTTTATTAAATCCTACCATATTTAATTAAATAACTAGATATGCTAAATAATTACTCCTATTTTCATTTATAAGGTAGACAGAGTGCTTTTTTTAGTTATATTTGTAAGTTATGTCATTAAATTTTTAACATAGGTTCTCTTTTTTACTCTCATTAATTTTTCATGAGAGAAATCATATTATTAAAGTATACAAATATAATAGGGATAAAGTTAAAAATTTATTAAATTTTTAGACCAATTAATAAATTGTAAAATTTTTATTGATTCAGTAAAATATGTTAAAGTAATTTATAAATGAGACTGGAGGAAGTGTATATGCTCTAATGCAAGGGAGATTGTTATGGGAAACAATAAAAAATCTTTTGTTTGGTGGTTACATATTATATAGTTTATTTTTGTGAGACATAATGAGTATATCCAGCCTAATGTATAGACTAATCTTTTCAAGATATTTAGGGTAAATGGCAAACCCCTTTTTAATTAGATCCTTACATCTAAGGATTGAGATCGAAATCTCGACCACTTATTTAGATAACATGTTGTTTTATACGACCATGAGTTATTTCACAGGTTGCAAGCTATTTGTCCATAAAATAATTATTTTAAAATGAGATTTCTGAAATCCAAACTGATTAAGTTGATATCTTTTTATTTATATTCA